GATCGTGGCTTTTCGACAGTTTTTAATATGACGTCTATTTAAATAGGTTCAAGTGCTGTTTACTTTACCTGTGGGAAAAACAATTCGGCCCGAAATGTGCATCAAATATGTGTCCGAGTGTCCAAGTAATATTGCATAAAAGTTTCTACAGACCCGGGCTATAGAAGAAAGTCCTGGGCAGTGTGTTTGTTTGGATTTGATGATGAGCTCAGGCGCTTGGATTTGATTGTTTGTCTTATAAATTAGCCAAAGTAGTTGGGATAATTTGCGGATGTATTTACTTGAGTTTCAATAGATGCTGAAATGCTTGTCAGCCATATGGAAACCAGAGATGGAAAATGTTTAAGAAAACAAATTCTGAAAATATATGGTATATAATTAAATATATTTAAAGTACATATTAAATAACTACTTTAGTTAAAATTTAAATTTAAAAAGAACAAGCCTTTGCAATTAGAATATCATAGAAGAAGTCTATGCTATATAAAGGATCAAGCTCAAGCATCCTTTTAATTCATAGAAAAAGAACTCTATTACAGAGTTTCTTATCGAAACATCACACAAACCGAAAAATGAAATTGTTGCAATAAAAAGAGTGTTAAAGACATGTTGTTTCGGGTCATAAACTGGACCAGATAAAGTACCAATTGTGCACTCACAGCAGCCAGACCGCAGGGCACTTGACTTGAAGCGTTTTAATTGATATTATCAAAAGGCATAAACCAGTAGAACTAATAGCCAACGTACTCCTACCAGATAACGATGCTGATAATGGCGTGCATTTAAAGATCGGGGCACTTAAGGCGCGACACTGCGAAACGGTATCGGGATATACGATAACCGGGCAAGGACAAGGACAATATTTATGGGTAGCATGGGGTAAATGTTGTTGTCCCTGCTCGGAATATTAAAAATCCATAAATACATCAGCGTCGATGATATGTGAGATAGTTTTTGGTGTTGGTTCTAGTCCATCTCGTTGACACTTGTTAGGGCTCCAGGCGAACCCATTTTGGGCACCATAAATATGTCAAAATAATGCTAAGCCAAGGGCTTAAGTGTGCGCCACACATACTTATGCACATAAATATTTCCAGGGAGTCTCCTGGGATATACGAATATATGGTATATATACAATATGTACAAAATATATTGCTCGCTTAATTTGAACCTCATAGAGGTTTTATATGCTGTGGTTATAAAAAAAAAAAAATATAGAAAAAAAACTAACTCATTATATTTGTGTTTCCAAGATTGTTTTGCTCTTGATTTTATCGTTTTTCCACTTTTTTTTTTGCCATAAACATGGGGCATTTGATATTTTCAAGATGGACTGTTCTACGCTGCGGCCCATTGCCAGTTGCAATTCAAGTGTGAAACACACACACAGAGAGATCCTTTAGGGATAGAGCTCGCGGGTCTGTAATAAATCACATCATTAGCATCTCGCACTTGTGCTGCCTGACATTTTCCACGGCTCATTTGTGATTTATGCATAATGCTGGGAATTGGCTCTGTCCAAATTTGTTTGTTGACACGCACCTCCGCTCAAGCTTGCCGCAGCCAACACAGATTTCAGGACCACCAATCCCCAAACCACACACACACACACACACGCACACTATGGTAGAACTAGTTGCCTTTAACCCTGACTTGAGAACTTAGGCACTTGTGGTTAGAATTTACATGCAGCTAGTTCTTTTTAAAGGTCATTTACCGTTATTAGCATATGTGCTCAATGCATTTGGTTTATAAGGTACAAACGACAAAAACAAACGGTAAGTGTCACCTTATCGGGCCAAACAAAGCATGACGTTACCAGTTGGTTATACAGTGTGGGTGTGGGTGTATCGAAGGGGGGGCAAGCTGTGGCCCAGTGTGAGAATTTCCAGTGCGGCATGTGGGTAACGTTTCTGGACTGAAAAAAAAAAACAGCTGAAAACACAAGAAGAACCATGACTGCGAGACCAAGAAAGTCTTGCGAAAAGCGTGATCGCAACAGGTTATATGAATATCCTTTTCAATTTGTTGTTTTGTCAAGCTTGAAAAGTTATATCTTTATAAGGAAAATATTCCTTCCAAAAAAACTTTGTTCGGTTGGAATCTCAGCTGTTTGCGCCAGCAAAAAGAGTATTTTCATTCGACTTGGTTTCGCGTTATGATTGATCTTAAAAAATTAATTATTATTATTTAATTATTAAAAATAAATGCCAGTATAGCCGTATTTTTGGTATAAACATGCTTGAAACGCGTGTTAACAAATTTGTGACGTCTATGCAAGGCTGAGGTTAAAGTTCAATATAAATCACAGGCACATGCAACCCGCGAGCACATTATTGAAAATGAAATAGGAAAAAAAAAAACATACAAATGTACATTTTTTGTATTTTTAATAAATTGAAAATTTGTTAATGAGGCAGAACGTGGAAGAAACCAAAAATGAACAAACAAATTGAACCATGTATAAGAAATTAAATACACACACACACACACACACGAATTAAGGTTATATAAAAAACAAAAGAGGCACATATATGGAATGTAATGTAGTATATAGAGTATATAGAGCCAAGTATTTCAAAGTGTAAACAAAAATCGTACGTCGGCCTCTGGCATGTGTCCCAAACCTAGTGAGAGGCAACGCGATGTCGTCGCCTGCCAACATTGCGATCTGTACGCGTTATCAGTCTGAAATATTTAGTATTTTTGATTTTTATTATTAATATAAGTATGATTTGAAAATTGCCACAGAGGTTAACTGAAATCAGAGACCCAGAGACACGTCGTGCCCAGCGAGCCGACGACCCACTTGAGTGTCGTCTGCTAAATATTTTTTTTTTAGTTTTTGGCATCGTAAAAATGTTGTCGAAATGTCCAAACAGATCGTTGGTGCCGCCTATTCAAATAACGATAAAAATGCCATTAAATCCTATTTGGGCCTCCGGAGATCTTTTACGACTTTACGACTCGTCCTGGTTGAAATATAACAATTTTTTAATCGGCCATTAGAACGGTACTCAAGTACATGGACGCATTGTCGTCATCCCGATCGATTTTATGACTTTTCGACAACATTTTGGCGCGTCGTCTCGGGAATTGGCGAAAGAGACCGGCCCAAGTGAAAGACTCTCTACTGCAAGTGAAGTGTGCGGCTTTTCAAGATTTTCATTTCATTTTTTATTTTCTCACGGCGCCCTTCGCCCTGGCTCCAGCGCCGGGCATGTCCTTGGCGCGGCTTATGAAATTCAACACGCGTCTCGTACGATACTCTATTTTATGTTTCTGTCTTGATGGGCATGAAAATGTTCTCAATATACGCATGTTCTTTAAATTTTTGAAAATTTTCATTTTCGATTCTCGCTCTTGTTCCACAAATTATAATTTTACGCACAATTTGAAAGAGTTGCCATGAAGCACTCCAATGTTATTAGCCAAATCGATATTAATGACTACATGGCCTACATGACATACATTATTGGGCGAACCTTCGTTAGATGGGGTTACTCTCGGTGAATTAAAAATCTAATCGCATCCAGCTACATTTTTTGTTGTCCAACCAAAAGGAGAGAATATTTAGATAGATAGAAAATAAAGAACAGATCCAGACATTGGTTCACGATTATGAATGTCAGAAAACATATCTGAGTCTTATATTCATCCTATTGAAAACGTATTGTTTCTTTTGTTTGGCTTGTCCGGCAGAATCCAAATGCGAACAAGTGTGGCTTATTATCATTTTGATAAAGATATCTTTCTTTCATACATACAAAACAAAGTACAGAACAGAGTGTTTTAATTCAAAAACAAATTATGTAAACAAATTAAAAACTTTTTAGAATTAAAAGAAATTGAAGCATTTTAAATATTTAATTTGCTTGATATCTATTCAAACAGCCCTTCCTTTTCAACTATCCGCGAGTGGGCTGGCTCTGATTGATACATCTGAGCTACCCTTACCAATCGTCTGTTACTATCAAAATGCCAAAAATCAAAAATATCAAAGTGTCCCTTTGGCAATGGAAATGAATCTAAGCTACCACAACAAAGATTTAACTCTTTTATCTTATATAAAATACAATTATCAATCAAAAATTGTGTTACTCAAGTTCTTAAATCTGTACGTGGATTTATAATTTTTAAAATGTTTAACTTATACGATGCGAGTTGTTTGTGTACATACATATGTATGTCTGTATGTATGTACCCTGTATATATATAAATATATATATATATATATGTATATACAGAACAGTACTTTACGCTGGCAACAGCCAACCACAACAACGACATTAAGAGCAACAGCAACAACAACAACAACAATCGAGCTGCACTTAAACAGCACAATAACAAATTTGCCTTAGCAGGCCCGGCTTTGGTCTGCCTCCCTCGTGCGTTGTGTTGCGTTTGAGAGGCGTTGCTTAAAACGGTTGCCTGAGCTAGAGAGAGATAGCTAAAGTTAATGACAAAGAGCCGTACGGTACGACGAATGTGCGATAAGGTCGGTTGCCTGCTGTTGGCAGCAGCAGGCAATATTGTTGCAGTCAAAGCAACAACAATAGCGATATTCGAAGAGAGTGCGAACGAAAACAGTGAGGCAAAACGAACAGCGAAGTGAGCTCCACACGGAGAGAGTGAGAGCGCGAGCGCCAACTGTAGTTTATGATTGCTGTTTTTTTGTTATTGCGGCTGCTGCTGCTATTGATGTCGCGCGCAGGCGTTAGAAGCTGTACACAGAAAACAGAAACATGCATAATGATTATGATTATAATATAACGGCATGTAGAGCAAAGGCAAAGTGCAAAGCACAAAATGTAATTGTATGAATGGAGGCAAACAACTGTGGAAGAGAACCAAAAGGAGAGAGAGTTTGGGATGTTGGGATTTGCTTTTGTGCTTATTCCATCTACATACGTATGCATGTATTTGAATTTGTGTAGTGGCGTTTTAAAAACATTTTTTTGTATGATTTTTGTTCGTTTCGAAATTAAGCGTGTGCTGAGCTCAGTTTGTATGAAAAACGCGCCGGACTCGGACACGTACGTTAATTAGCGCGGATCATTTATAAATTCTAGGCGGGTGCGCTTGCCTGAAAAAGTTTGAAACAACAGAACTGAAGTGTCAGCTCAGCTTTGCTTGTGTACACTGTACAGTGTGTATTGGCTAACATGACCAAGACTAACAAAGCAAAGGACAAGGACAAGAGCAGTGCAATGCCGCGTGTGCCCAGCAATTTGTTGGCGAGTGCTGCCAAAATGAAGATCACCAAAGCGTTGGTCAATGCCAAAAAGCAAGCAGTGCAAAAAGGAGCGAACGGCGATAAGGCAACAGGATCAAATGTAGCAGCAACAGCCGCAGCCGCAGCAGCAGCAACAGCAACAGCCACAACCGCAGCCATAGCCACAGCATACGGTCAAGCGCAACAGGCGTTCGCTGTGAAAGAGACGACAATAGCGGCGCAGGAGAACGGCGACAGCGACAGCAACGACGCGCATAAGCAGCAGCAACAACAACAAGCAGCGACGTCGGCGTCGCCGTTGTCGCCGCTTGCCACAGCGAATTTATCGTCGACATTTGAGTCGAAGGCTCACACATCAGTTGCCAGCGAAACAGCGAAGCAAGCGGTTACCAGCGCAGCAACACCAACGGAAGCAGAAACAACGGCACCAGCAGCAACAACAACAACAACAACAACAACAACAACAACATCATCAACAAACATCGCAAATACCTATGTTTATGCTGAGAACAGCTTAAGGCAGCAGCCCAACAGTTGTGACGTCACTGGCAAAGTTGTGGCAGACGAAGCGGCTAATAACAATCAAGATAAAGTCGAGCCCAGAACCGAGAGCAAAGCGAATATAGAGACAGCAGCAACAGCAGCAACAACAATAACAGCAAGCGATAAATATTACAAAATAGTTGATAAGTGTAAAAGTGAGATAAGTGATGAAAACACAACAACAACAACATCAACAACAGCAACAATTTTGCCGGTAGTAGTGATAAATAATAATCAGCTAAGCGTCGCGAGTGAAAGTGTTGACAACAAAATCAAAAGTGAAACAAACGAGCAAGAACAAACAGCAGCAGCAACGGCAACGGCAACGGCTACGGCACCAGCAACAGCAACAGCAACAACAACAACCGCAACATCCGAATTGCCGCTACATTATCGTGGCCTAAACAACTCGGTGATTATAGCCAACTATGCGCATCAGCATCAGCAGCAGCAGCAGCAGCAGCATCAGCAGCAACAGGCAGAGCAAGAACAAATCTACGAGCAGCAGCACTTTTTACAGCAGCAGCTTTTAAATCAACAGCAACAGGAGCAACAGCAACAACAGCAGCAGCAGCAGCAGCAGCAGCAACAACACGCCAGCTGGTTGGCCTACAACAATTGCGCCTACGACTTAACCAGCAACAGCGCAGCAGCAGCAGCAGCAGCAGCAGCAGCGGCAGCAGCAACACAGCAGGAGAAGAGTGAATTCTATGCATTGGCTGCCTCGCAGCAATTGTTGGCGCATTTTCCCTATCACCACACGCATTTGTACGAACAGCAGCAGCAGCAGCAGCAGCACAGCGCCAGCAGCACGGATCCCATAATGCGCAATAACTTTACGCTGTACAGCGTCTATGGTGGAGGCGGGGGCGGCGGTGGCAGCGGCGGTGTCACGCCCACCACACACGAGCAACATCAGCTGCAGCAACATGTTGCCGCTGTGGCAGCAGCAGCCGCCAATTCGGTAATTGTCCACACAACACACACAACGCCCAACATTGACGAGGTCATACAGGATACGCTGAAGGATGAGTGCTTCGACGATAATCACAGCTCCAGCTATCACATGCTGACCGCCGTCTCTGATCTGCAGGTGCTTAAGGAGGCCAATGCAGCCATTTACTCCATGACGCACGATCAGTTGTTGCAGCAGCAACATCAGCAGCAGCAGCAGCAGCAGCAGCAGCAGCAGCAGCATCTGCATCAACATCAGCATCAGCATCAACACCATCATCATCATCATCTGACGCAGCAGCTGCAGCATCATCATGCCCATGCGCAGCAGCATCACAACAACTCGGCCAGTTCGGTGGGTGGCGACTCGCCCTCGCCCTCCCACACGCTCGCCGCACATGCCAGCGATGTGGCAACGCTGCAAAGCTTTACACAGCTAACAAGCGCGCCGCCCAGCAGCGGGCTGCATCGCGACAGCTACGGCAGCCTCTCGCCGGATCACGGCAGCTATTTCAGTTCACCGCTCAGTCCGGTGCTGCAGACCAGGTAAGTCCCTACACAGTTCACAGTTCCCAAAGCCCCCACCCTGCCCTCTAAAAACCTATGTCGAAATTAGCTCATTATTAGGTGTCGCCTCGCACGTGCCTTTCGGCAAAAAACGCAGCGCCGCTTCGACGACTCGCACAGCCAAAAGTCATGATCAACAATTGTTGTTGTTGTTGTTGTTGTTTTTGCTGTTGCTGTTGCTGTTGTCGTCGGTTTCTGATTCATATTATTATTTTTTGTTTGCTTTATTTTGTTTTTTTTGCCTTTCCGACTTTGATTTTGTGTTACGTTTCTTTATACTCGTCATAGGTAATAATAACAGCAGCACAAATGTCACAATTGTTGCACTTGTTGTTTGCCTGCCTCCCCCAATACCAATACCAATGCCAATACCAATACCAATACCAACACCTATAGCCAAAGACGAATTCTAATACATTCGCTTATGGCATTCTCAGGTGGTTTGCATTCTATGTACATACATATATTGTACATATATAGTATATATAAATATATATATGTATATATAGACGTGCATATGTATTTAGAAATATGCATTCCGTTGGGCCGGCGAAAAATCTGTTCCATGTTGCATCTTTCACTGGGGGCGTCTCGCACCCAGTTGCCTGCTTTAACTGACTTTGGAATGTTTTTCTACATTTGTTTTTGTACAGTTGTTTTGTTTTTTTGTCATGCACATTTTCGCTTTGCTACGCAGAACTCTTGAACCGAACACATACACAAATACATACACACTTACACACATGCAGTTAGTGGGGCAGGTTAAAGCTATAGTATCATATCCGTCCAACTAATCGACCGAATACTATTGCAACACTTTAAATCCCTTTATGGAATGACAAATACGAAGATGTAAAATCAATAAATAAATATATTTGTTTCGTATTTCAAAATATATTTTATTCTGAATACCACAGTTTGAATATATTCATATAATGTTGGAAGCTTGAAGTATTTGAGTCGAGAGCTGCTAAGCATCTACGTTCTGCAATAATACTTTTTTTACGTCTCTTTAAATTTCAATTCATCTACATAAAATGATTAATAACAAACAAATTTGTTCCAAGTTTCTAACTTTGGTTTTATCACCTACAAAATTTCGTATCTAAGCTACCCAAGAAATTTTACACAAATCGGTTATCGACAGATTATTTGTCTATAAGGAATATATAGGAAATACAGTGGTATTTTGATAAGGTGTTCGCCCTGGTTTCAGAGTTGACTGAAAATTGCGAAAAATGCATATTTGTAGATATTATATTCTTAAATATTCCAATCCCATAGGCGAAGAAAAAGTTTTAACAAGATGACGATATCCAGGAATGTTATAGATTTTTAGCGATTACTTTGTTCCTTATCAAAATGCACGACTCAAAATTAGATAGTTTTTAAATATAGCTGTAAAACAGTTTTTCGAGTAACACACAGCTTAATATTAAGTTTTCCTTTAAAGATGTTTTGAGAGAGAAACTGAAAAGCTTGGAAACTTCTCAAACTTGGAAACGATCGAACTGATCAATCATATCCCTTCTGAAAAAGTCAAGTACTTTTGGGAGCTATCAAAATAAGAAAATTCAAATTTACAAAACATGAATGGAAATGGGTTAAATATTTTCATATATTACGTTCATTTCTAAAGGAATGCATCCACGAAATATTGTTTTAAGGTAACTTTTAGAGTTATACAACACTGACACTTCATGCCCTGTTAAAGAATGCCCCAGTTAAGCGTTGGCTAATTATAGAATTGTCTTTTGAAATGCCCACCTTAAGCACGATCAGAATAAACAATTTTCACAAAAAGCGTTTTACTTGCATGTATTTAAATACAATTCGCTTACAATTTCGCACTGCGAATTTTGAGAGACGCGCCTTTCCAGCCATTCAGAGCTTCCTCCCAAAACGAAAATGAAATGAAAAAAAAAAAAGTCCAAAGGCAAGCAAAATATTGTAAACGTTCGCTCCGATTTCATAAACAAAAACAAAAACATGCAATGTGTTAATTGCGGGTATTACTGACTTTGGGGCAGCTTGGGCTGTTTGAGTCGATCTGCTGACTCATGAGACTGCCCCCAAGTTGCACACACAGATTCATCATTTTTCCCCTTGTGCATGTGTGCGTGCGTCTCTGTCTCTCGACTGAATCATAAATTGGGGGTGGTGAAAAACACACATGTTGGACTTTTGCCTGGTTGACTAACTGAGCCGGCGCGAAGGCCCACAGAATGTGGCCAAAACAAGTATGAGTTGGTAGTCATGCTGGTTAAGCTGCTGCTGGCAACAACACGTGTCCAACATTTTAGGGCCGCGCACGTGCCACAAACGCCAAATGTGGCATATGCCAAAGGGGGGCATGACCCGCATTTGGCGGCAAACAAACAACAATTCGAAAAGAAAACCTGCGCTAAGCAAATGCAACATAAATGCAATGAAAGCGCATTTTTCCAACTTGTTCTGCATATTCGGTTGCAAACTGTGTCTGGTTGTCAGGAGGATCCCGCCGCGCCCACTGAGTGCAGCACCTCGATGAGCTCTGGTCTCCGAACGCAATGGGACTTGGACTTGGACTGGGTAATTCAAAGCCGGCTTATGACATAGAAAACTGTAACGAAATGACACAGCTTCAAAAAAAAAAAAAAAATAATAATAATAAAATAAAAAAAAACAACATCAGTTGGCTCAACTTCACAGGGTTGTCGCTGCGACTGAGTCAGCAGACGTCGCTACGTTCTACTCTGCTGTGGCTACCCTGACGACGAGCCTCTAATATTCGGGCGGGTGAAAATTTCCCTGGACCCGCACAATTTGCTCTATTCATTTGTTCTCGGTTTCCCAATATTTTTGCATTTTAGCTTTTCTTTTTGGCCAGTTTTAATTGGAAAACGTGTTTTGCATACACACAATTACACCAAAGCAGCCACAACAATATGTACACGTCAATATATACATAGGTACGAACCTATGTGTGCGTGTGTGTGTGTGTCTATATATGGCTAACTAGCACTAAGTACTTGTATACATATCAAATTTTACACAGATTGTCAATAAAGCTGGGTTTATGCTTTTGAGTGAGGGCGAGGTATACAAAATAAATTGCCTACTTCTGGTTTCAAGACCGAAGCCCTGTTTAGGCTGTATTTATTTCTCATTTATTCAGAGCTCTGAGTAGAAAGCTTATGAATGCCGACTAGAGTATCTTTATTTGGAGCTCGGTATCTTGAGTGATCGACTGTCGACTGTGCAATACTCTGTTCCCGGTGTAGTGATAGCTAAAAGGGTGTAGGAGACTCTTCTTAAACGTGAGGTTAGCCCTGAATGTGTAAATTAAAACCTCTAAACGTTTGAAGATATCAGATGGCTGGGAAGTTAGCATAATGCACGTACGAAAGCTACTTAGGATTACGAGGGGTTGATTCGACCAGGATTGGTCTATTGCTTTGATCTATCATCTGTTTTCTCAGACACCAAAGAAATTATAGAGGGCGATCCATTCTGATGCTTAAAAGATTGGGTCAATTTCTCAACTCATCGATTAGATTTAATCACATTTGTATGTATATCAGAGGTGTATCTATTTGTATCTTTATATGTATATGTATATGTATGTTTCACCTGCACCAGCCCTGTGCTATAGTTAGTCCCTTTTACCGAGTCTCATTCTGGCAAATCTTCATATTTTCTATAATCTGGTACTCACTCTCTAAGCGCTCTGCGCTGGGCCGGACAGGCCGGACGCAGTGCGGCTGGGTGACGAGCGCGCGAATGTGACTTTTGTTTAGTTTCGCATGCAGAAACCAGAAGAAGATACGATACATGGAAAACAAGAAGTCTGCGCAAAATACTCACCTGCAACAAACAGCAACAATAAATAGCAGCAGCAGCAGCAACAGCAACAGCAACAGCAGCAACAATTAACCGAACACCGATAAAATAATATCGTGCATTTTTATTGTCTTGGCACTTCCTATGTACCGAGAACGCGACATCTCGAGCCACATATATACGTATATATGTAGGTAGTATATGGGCAATTGTAATTGTTATATTCCGAGATTTGTCATGCTTTTTATTTAGTTATTGCAATTGTTGTTGTTGTCGTTGTTGTGCGCTATCAGTGCGCGTGTGTATCTAGTAATAATTCGGAGCGACTAGCATATAGAGTCTTTTGAATTTGTAGAGTGAATTTTTCTTAGAAAGATTAATCTTGTTTTCGGGATGGACAAATAAGTTATTCATTAGATCTAAAGTTTATGAAGGTAAGGACCTTGCAAACGGCATTAGAATTTATATAAGCTCAGGATCCCCATTAACAGTCCAGATTGGTTGACTATATCCTAAGGTTGTCCACCAATAGATCAAAAAAAAAATAAGAGAATATTGGGAGTATACAAATCTGCTTTGGTATGATTAAACATTACTTTTCAAGCCTCTTCTCCATAACTGACTAGTAAGCCGTAAAGCTGTATTAAGTTTAAATTCTTGTGCTAAAAGTCCTGTCCTTTAAATTAACTTTAAATTAACCCCAAGCTTTTAAACCATGAACTTTTCTGCCAGCTTGGACTAAAACTAAAAAGTTAGGTATACAAAAGAAGTACATATAACAAGTATTTAGTACTTGGTTTAAGATAAGTCGATTATCGACGATTATGTTAACATTGCTTACTGTATCTATTCGGAATAATATATTGTTAGTGTGCCTTGTATATATTGTGTCTTTAAGCGTATTAATTATTCTACATTCTGAAAACCATTAATTAGTATATATAGAATACGAGTAAAAGGATATTGAAGCTGGTTTGCGGGCAGTTGATCTGATGTGAGCTAAATATGTGTTTATTATTTGAAAGTGTTTTCTGTTTTGTTTGCTGTCAAATATTGTAGCCGTTCTTCTTCTTCTGGTGTTGTTGTTTTAGCACGATTATGTACAATATATGAAGTAATTGTATGTAAGTGTGTCTGCTGATATTTGAATGCATGCGCTGCCAACTGACAGCGCATCTTGAGATTTTTTGCCCAGACTATTTTGCTGGCCAGAGCTGCGACAGCAACAACAACATCGGGAAGCAGCGACGTTGGCAGCGCGAAAAGCGTCAACTGCAATTGGCATAAAACTAAACCCGACTCAAGTCATTATGCAAACGCGCGTGCCCCGTTTCGGTTGTTGTATCGTCTGACAAGTTGAGCGTATTTTGGCTTTGAAAATATTTAAAAATAAAATTAATAAATATATGCATGCAGTAAATGCAGTATAAATATATATTTTAGTTACTTCGTGCTCCTGCGTGCGCGTGTGTGTGTGTCTGTCTTCCTGTTCCAATCAAACAAATTTCATTTTGTATTTTAGTTGACAATTCAAAAGGGCCGTAAAAGACAATAGAGAATATTATTTGTTGATATTCAATTGTTTTAATGTGCAAACTAAACAATACGTAATACGTACTAATATCTTGGCCAATTGTTGCATGTGTATTTGTGTTTGTGTTTGTGTTCGTGTTGACCTCGTTTAAGATCTCTTAAGCTTTCTTTCCGTATCCATGTCCATCTGCATTTCCTGCCGCTGGTAGCTGCCACGCTTCTGCCAGAAGAACTTCCGATCTTTGTGCCGCAGGGACTTTAACTGGCGACAAGACGCAACAGAAATTTGTCCAGTTCGCAGTTTTGCCTGGCTCATTGCTTTGTTTATGCTACAATAAGCCAAAATAAAAATAAAAAAAAAAAAAAAAAACAATAATAATAATAAGAGGCGACACATGCGGCCAAGTGTAGCGAAAATATTTGCACAGGCTACCGTTCGAGCAGCTTTGTAGGGAATTCGAGTCGTATAAACAAGAGCTGCAACACTTTTATTTTTAATTAAAACTTTTATGGGTAAGCCCATGCACACATACGTACACACACACACACACAGCTCCTTATAAACATGCCAAAAGTTGACGCTGGTGGTCTAGCGAAAACAACAACAGCAAACACATCAACACCAACAACAGCAACAACAACAACAACAACAGGACAGCTCTGTTATGTAAACAATACAACGCAATGTTAATAACAGTTTCGTTTTACAAAAGCCGCCAAGCGTCTTAACATTAACAGAGCTTTAACAGCTGATTGAGGCGCAGCTGCTGTTCGAATCGCGGCCAGAAACGCGCCAAATGCTAAGCGAGCGATAATAAACGCGCCCAAAGTAGAAGCAAAATCACAATTTCAAAAATTAAATAAAAAGTAAAATTAAATTTTATTAATTATTCAACATGTTTTTCTCCAACTACAATAACATGTATTTGAAGAACTATTGCTATAGGTAAATAACAGAATATCTTTTAGACTTAACAAATTGTTTATTTAACAACAATATTATTTATATTTTAATGTTTCTCTCATTTCTGTTAACAGCTCTGTCTATGCAAGTCCTTTGCTCGCATCGGCCGCCAATGGCATGCAGTATGGTATGCAAGCAATTGCCTCGCCCACCCACACACACGCCCAGCTGCAGCAGCAACATCACCAAAACCAGCAGCAGCAACATCAGCAACAGCAGCAACAGCAGCAGCAGCAGCAACAACATCATCAGCATCACAATTCCACCAGCAGCAGTCCTGGCCCAGTGGGTCTGCACCACACGAGCGGCTCGGCGGTTGGGCACAGCTCGCTGCTGGACGACGGCTACGGATCGCCCAAAAGCAGCCACAGCGGCAACGGCGGAGGTGGCACCTTGCCCGCCTTTCAGCGCATTGCACCGGCCAGCGGCGGTGCCGGCTATGGCAACGGCGTGGCCAATGGCTCTGGCAGCGGCGCTGAACGGGCTTCTGGCTACGCATCGCTGGCCAATTACCGCACACACGTAAGTCAATGCAGGATGCCCTGCGTCTGTCCAACTCAGATTTTTTAATGCTCTCCTCTCTCTCTCTCTCTCTGTGTGCTTGCAGGCCGATGGTTGGAGTGGTCATTACGAACCAATTAGCTACGCGCCCAATGCCACCGGCCAGGGCGGGCAATTGGGTGGCAGCGGTGCAGCGGCTACCAATGTGATATGCAATCGACGCGCCGTCGCTGCCGCAGCTGCGGCCGCAGCCGCTGTCGACGGTGCCGCCAACGCCGTTGATCCTGCCCGCTTCCTGGCCAACGCCGCTCATCTGTCTGCTTCGGCATCGCTAACAGCAAGTAAGTGTGGCATCCACATATACATACATATATATATATATATATATATAGACATATTCTAGGCTAGCTTAGCATCACAATATACCACATCTTTCGGCCGTGTGGCCACAGAGCTGGTCCTTAGGTAGAATTTCACACTCAAACAGTTGTTCAGGCTGCCCACAAAATAGTCCATCTATTTGCGTAGCCTGTGTAAATCCAATTTGGAAACACAAATTTGTTGCCAACTGGCCGCGTTTTCGGGATCAAACAGCAAAACAGACAGAATACTTAACGTTTGCTGCCAGTCTTTTATTTAACTATATCTCGATATATGCAATAGAACAGAACTAAGAGCGATCCAGCTATATTCAAAGAATTAACGCAGAACTATCTGAATGTCAACAAAATATTTTTATTCGAGTTTAGATTTGAATTTCCATAAAGTATGCCATTGATCAAAATGTAACTTAACTTTTCCAAAAATTAATAAATAATCTTTTCAGAATTTATTAAGTTGTGTCTAATCAGATTTACCTTAAAATGAGTTATTAGCATGGAAATGAAAGTTTAGCTGAGATGAAGTTTCTCAAGCTATTGTGGCTTATTTTCCGAAATTCTATTTTCATTATAGAAAATTATGACCTAGGAGCATTTTGCACATTGAGAAATGAATTTTAGATTTATAATTTATGTTGAAGCTTGACACAATAATTTATATATACATATAAATAATTTATATATATATATAAATAATATATTAAAATCGCTTAAGTTAGTGTACATTTTTTTAGCTATTAAGTATTTTCTACATACACATAAATATTTCTAAGCATAACGTATAATAAATTCAATTAATTTTGTATCAACTCTTGAAAATGAAAACAACAAACACACAGAAAAACAGTATAATTCAAAAAAAGAAAACAATAAATATTAATTTTATAAATAAATAAAATGCAATTCTAAATGTTTGCCACACACATATACACACACATCTATATAACGACAAAATAATTACATGCCAAAGAAAAAATAATAAAAATAATAATAATAATAATAATACTCCTAAACACTCGAACAACAAAATTGAAACAAATCAAATATCAATACAAATTTCGATTTTTCTATACTTGAATTTCCAAAGCATTACTCGATGCCGATTTTTTCACTGAGGGGCGAGAATGTGTGAATTGTGGTGCGATTTCAACCCCATTATGGCGACGCGATAACACGGGACACTATTTATGCAATGCTTGCGGCCTGTATCATAAAATGAACGGCATGAATCGACCTCTAATTAAACAGCCTAGAAGATTGGTAAATGTCAACAGCAACAGTAACAGTAACAGCAACAATTACAACAAAACACAATGTCAAAAACAACAACAACAACAACAACAACAATTACAACTACACGTATTACTAACAAAATCAAAATCAAAGTCAAAATCAAAGCAAAGTTTTGATTATTTGCTTTTGTGTGGAACAACATTTTTAAGTACTCTAAAAGAGAAAAGATCTTAAATAATGGGCTCGAAGAACTTATAGAAATCCGCCAGCCAGACTGCAGCTTTGCGTGCAAGAACGTTCTCGCTTCTATCATTGAACAAAATCTGAAAACCTTAAATATGGAACCAAGAAATGCATAAAGAGAAAATTAATTGAATTTATTATATTAGTCAAGCGCAAATTAGTTTTGTATGCCTGAAAAAAAAAACAACAAACAAACAAAAAACAACAAAAAAAAAAAAAAAAAAAACAAAACAAACCCCAAACTAAAACCTAAAACAAACCGCTTTTCTTCATTACAACAAATTCTAATTGCATTATTACAGTGGCCGCTGAATCAGGCGGGGATTTCTATAAGACCTTCCCATTTAACGTGACCACCGGTAGCCGCAGTAAGGGCTCCACAAATGCCAACAGCGCTGCCGGTTCCGGCGCAGGCTCAACGTCAGCGACGACGTCGTCAGTGACTTCAACGGCGCTCGACGAGCACGTTAGTCGCGCCAATTCGAGACGCTTGGTAGGTCGTCCATTAATTACGAATAGCCAAACCAAACCAAACCAAATCAAACCAAAACAAAACCAACCAAACCAAAACAAACTGAAAACCAAACCAACCAACTAAAAACTCCCAATCAGAAATATTATCAATAGCAAATAACTAAAACTAACACAACCCAAAACTACCATTCTTTCCTTCTGGCATAACCAATTCTTTATTATGTTGTATCCAACTTAACAACGATATGTTATAATACATTTTTTTTTTTGTTAATTCTTCCATAATTCAATCAAATATATCGTGGATTTTTTTATATATTATTTATTTACAAGTTCAAGTTTTAACTTGCTTTAAATTCTTTCTCTAGAAGTTCGAAATCGAAAGAAAACTTTCTACGTTTATTTTAAACAAAAAAAAATTTTATATGTGAATTTCCTTTAAGTATTCCTTGTTTCTATTATACCCAATAGTTAACTTCACACTAATGCATTTATTAAAAATATTTTATTCCCTTTTCCTTCAGTTCCTGCAGCAAAAACTATCCTTAAGGCTATTAATCTTAGATTCGGTATGCAACTTTTCTATGGACTTTGTTGCATGTTATTTGTCCAAGATCTCTATTTCCTTTTAGTTTTTTGGGTAGAGCTAACATAGTTCTTAAAAATCTGTTATTGTTTGGTTTAGTTTAGGTCAAAAAAAAAAAAAGAAAAATATTGTTCCACATGAAAAGCAAAAGGTGCTAAGCGCCCGTAAAATTGATTAAACGCACACTGACACACTGACACACTTACACGTACACCTACACATACACACACATACTAATCGGCTGCTATTCTTGAACAAACTTCACAGAGCGCCTCCAGACGTGCTGGCATGTCCTGCTCCAACTGCCAGACGAGCTACACATCACTGTGGCGCCGCAATCCAGGTGGCGAGCCCGTCTGCAATGCCTGCGGCCTCTACTACAAGCTGCACAATGTGGTACGTCCGCTGACCATGAAGAAGGACACCATACAGGTGAGTTCTTCTTGCTGTTGCGCAGAGAGAGCACTTTGGTTAATTCTTCTCTGAATTTCCCAATAGAAACGCAAACGCAAACCGAAGGGCACCAAGAGCGAAAAGTCCAAGAAGATGAGAACCACGCAGGCGGCTGGATTGGTGGCCAACAACAATGCCAATGCCAATGCCTGCCACAATGTGGGCATGCAGCTGGAGGGGCATGGCCAGCAAATGGATGTCAATGATGGTGGGTTCCAAGCTATAAATTGCAATTCGAATTCACTTTTCCACCTGCCTCTCTCTCAATCTTTCCTTATGTGTTGCACGCATGCCTAATTTGTGATGTCTGCTTTCTCTCTCTCTCTCTCTCTCCCCCCACTCTTAACCCATTAGAAATGAAACCACTTGCATATATGTCATACGCATCGCAGCAACAGCTACAGCAGCAACAACTAAACACTGAGCAACATTCATCAGCGGCCAGCTCGCCGCAAAGCATGGCATCCTCCTCATTATCACCCAATGCAATATCTCAACAGCAGCAACAGCAACAGCAGCAACAGCAGCAACAGCAGCAGCAGCAGCTATGCGCTGGCCTGGACATGTCGCCCACATCCTCCTATCAAATGTCGCCCATTAACATGCAACAGCAGCAACAGCAGCAGCAGCAATCATGCAGCATGCAACATTCACCTAGCACGCCCACATCAGCCATGTCACAGTCCATTTATTCCACGCCATCGCCTACGCAGCTTCATAGCAACAACAACAATAGCAGCAACAACAACAACAACAACAACACATTGTTCAATCATAACAACAACAACAACAACAATAACAATGAGAATAACAAACAAATTATACAGAAATATCTGCAAGCTCAACAATTGAGCAACAACAGCAGCAACAGCGATCAGCAATTATTGGCACAGCAGCAACTTATGCACCTGATGCCGAACTCCATTACGGCAGCAACAGCAGCAGCTGCAGCAGCGGCAGCGGCGGCGGCTGCGGCGGCGGCAATCAGCACAGCGATCAAATCGGAGGCGGTCACCAACACGACCAACACCAGCAACAGCAACAGCAGCAGCAACAGCATCAGCAGCAAGCAATTAGCTGCCACAACAACAGCAACAACACCGACCGCGGCATCGAACACACTATCCTCTCTGAGTCACAACAGCAGCAACATTATCAGCCTGCAAAGTGCCTATCAACAGCAGGCGCTTGGTCAGACGGAGATGCCCTTGTGTAAATCGGCACTGAGCGGACGCAGCTCATCGCCCTATTATATAAATCATCTGGCCGAGGAGGAGCAGACGGCCATTATTAAACTGGAGCAGTTGGATCACCAGCAGCAACAGCAGCAACAGCAACACCAACAGCAACATCAACAGCAGCAGCAGCAGCAGCATCAGCAACACGATGAAATGTTGCTCAGTCGCACAACTTCCATCGATGAGCACTACGAACTGGCCGCCTATCATCGACACCAGCAACAGCAGCAGCAGCAGCAGCTACAGCAACACACACTGCAGCAACATGTTGCACTCAGTCAGCACGAACAGCAGATTGCCAGCTATGCGCTACACGCAGCCGCACAGCAGCAACTGCACGAATTTGGACGCAAATATGGCGTTGAGCGCGAAACAATTGTCAAAATGGAATAATGCCAGCCGATTCTGAACAGACACGCATTGTCATGACCAAAGATATTGTTGTTACACACATAAATCTCACAGCTCCAAAGAAATTTAAATCCATTTTTAGCCTAGGCATTCGAATTGCGTTTATCAAAAGTTCTCAAAGAACTTGCAACAGCAGCAACACGCACACACACACACACACACACACACACACACACACACACTCGTTTTGTATATACATTTAAGCAAATTTATGTGACATTTCCATAAGCTATAGAAAGGCCCTCACTACTCGAGTTTTGTTATTTTAAAATTTAGTTTAATTGTTTAGCGAAATGTCCCTGCAGCATAAAACATACTTGTTGTTGGATTTTTTTTGTTATACCCAATACTATAATTTCTATTATGAATATGAATAGCACACTTGAGATTTCTTACCATCAAATTCCACTTAGTTTTGTAAGTTATCTATATTCATCAGCAATAATGAAAATAACAAATAAAACAATAATCTCATGCAATTTTAGTTAATAATTTATACATTTTACATACAGAAATACTATATGTATGTATTTATATATATATATATTTAATGCCAAATTAAGTTTTAGTTTCGTACAACTTTTTACTTCATTTTGCAATATTAATATTATTATTTTTGAACAAATAAACGACAAGTATCCAAAAAAAAAAATGTAAAGTTTAATTTTATATATAATTTTAATTTAAGGGGATTTTTTACGTGTTTTCTAATGTTTGACAGCTTGTTTTAATTTATGAGCAAAAGTGCATATTGTGTGGATTTTATTTGTAGAGAAAAAGTAAGATATAATATTGTTCAACTACGAGACGGTTAAATGTTAAAATATCAGACACAATTTATCGAAATATTTGTTATCGATCAGCCTTAAAACTTCCGCCATGTGCATCCGGAACGCAAAAATGAGCTAACAGAGTGAAAACGCACTGTTAGGCTTCTGTTGCTGCAATGGAACCTACTTGACAAAAGTGTTGCAGTCTTTTGGGCTGTCAGGAAATTCAGATTCTTAGAAAGTTGGCTTGCTAATTGGAGTCTCATTGGATTTTGATACTTTATACACTTTAAAATTAAATTTTATATGAAAATGCAATATACATAATAAACTTTTCTATCTATAATTTAAAAGCCTAAGCAACATTTCTAATTAGAAAGGTTTTTGCTAAATTATTAATAAATAAGTAATGTGATATTATGATCTGTTCGATATAGACTTTTGCACTGGCTGCTTTTTTATTCAACATAAGATTATTCGAAAAAAGAAAACAAGAAATATGATCAAATATTATATATTTTTATTTATTTATTTAATTATTGATTAACTATTTATAAGATATCTGGTTTATGATAGCTGACAGAGTTACATTGCTACAAAGGCTTTTTATGAATTCAAAGAAAAGTTTTTGAATATGTAATATGTGACTCTCGAATAATTTCTTTCAATTAATCAATTAATTTAGAGATTTTATCTAATTTATCGTCCAGAGTAGCTTTGAAAAATAAATAAATAATGAATAAATGTTATTTTATAAATGGAAAACGCATAAAAGAATGGGGTTCTCAGCCGTTTTAAAATGTTCGGAAGCCAGTTGACATTTCAGTTGGGAATATACTACATTTTCCATATACAGTCGCATAATATTCTTATACGCCGCCATTTATGAATGCGACAAGTCTATTGTGTGATAAGATAAGGTCGCATTCCCGGCTCTCTTTCTCAGTTTCGTTCTCACTCCCTCTCTATGTACACATACTATATGATTTTTGCTCTATTTTTTGTGATTACAGTTTGAGTACATTTGCTTTTTCTTTTTTTCTTTTCTTTTTTTTATTGTAGTCACGCGTTACAAAAACAACAGCAAAATCAAAAAGTCATTTTTATGTGGCAAAACAGTTTTTTTGTTTATTGGCGGGGCTGTTTGCATAAGCGAGAGGGAGAATGTTGATGACTACGTGACTGTACTAAAGTCCCGCATATATGAGGGGAACTTTGTGAGCTGGCGGCTCGTGCAATGTTCAAGTGTGGCCTATGTGTTATGTGAGTGTGTTGCAGGCGGTGCAGGGTTTGATTGATAGCTGATAAGGCAACGCGGCAAAGTCACCTAGCCCATCACCCATCGACCCAATGCTTTCCATTTATAACGAATTAGTTTTGCCGCCCCTCAGAGATAAAGTCAACATTGGAATGGTCTTTTTGATAAACATATTGTCTGCGTTGGTTCGAACCATATTTTTGACATAACTGTATTCGCTATAGTTAAAGTTTGTGTTTGCAACCGCGCTCTATCTGTTTATATAGATATTTGACTCAACGATTTTCGCTTACAAACTACAGACTGCCAGACTTGACGCTGAAACTGGGGCTGGGTCATGGTTGCTATCAAAGTTCTGCCCAGATAATGGGATGATAATGCCCACTTGCTACATATGTATAGTAAGACATCGTCTTACATGATATCATATGTGAATACGCACGATAAGATATAGTTTCATTGCTTTGATTTCTATTTTCCAATTGATATTTCTGCAATCCAATTGTTAATGCCGCTATCTTTTTCTATGGTTTAGTAACTGTTTTGCTCTGGGATCAGTTAGTTGAGGGCTGCCAACTCTTCCCAATATTAACGGGACTGCATAGGCAACGGTATCAACTAGTTAAGGGCTGCCAACTCTCTCTCTCTCTCTCTCTCCTGTCTCCAGTATTAAGAGCACATCACTGCGTGTCGCTGCAAATGAACATGTTCTCTACAATGATGACAGCTGCGCCACTTGGAGACTTTTAATAAAGCAGTGAAAAAACCGACGGCAACAGCAGCAACAACAAAAACAACAACAACAACAACAACCAGCAATATATAGCACCAGCGCTCCAAGTGCTGAAAACTTTTATCGTTGTCGCCATCTTGATTTCAAAATGGCGGAGCAGCTGTTACCACACGCGCAAACGAACACAACAAGAACAAGAGCACGAACACGAACAACAACAACAACATGCACAATTGCATATACAAGCATGAGAAATCGGTTATGTGTGTGTGTGTGCGTGTAATTGTGCATATACGCGCAATGCACCGAATGTTAACAATTGTAGCCTTTTGTGCGGCTGCTTAATAAAATGGAACAGGGGCGGGCCATACAAAGTTCACTTTTAAAGCTCAAAGCAATTTATATGGTTTATAGAAAATGACAAATCCTTGTTCTAAAATCTCCAAACAGTTATAGTTAAGACCACTGATTAAGAAGTAAATTAGTTTTATAAAACCTTAGACTTAATCAACTTTATGCAGTTTGCCCAGCAAACAGGAAGACAACAAAATTGTTGAATACTCTTAAAAAGTGTTGTGTTATTTCACAAAGGCTACCTTTGATAAAGACCATATATTTTGTTTGAAATACTTTCTTTCATTTCAACGAATTCGTCTGTTAGTTTAAAAATTCTCAATAATAAGATGTTAAATAAATATGACTTTGCAATCCGCGTTTTTCATTAACGTTCAACGTTTTCGCTGTCAGTTAGCCAAGTTTATTTTTGCGCATTCATATAGGTACACACACGGCAAATGTCCATATATAGAGGAACACACACAGCTCGTAATTTATGATGAGTTAATTTTTCGCTTGACGTACAACTTTTATGGCACTGTTGTTATTGTTCTTTTTTTTTTGTCGCTTTTTTAATAGAACGGCGCGTTTTCCTTCAGACTTGTTGCTGTAGTGTCACTTTATGATGTTATGGCTCACAAAGGTGAATTTATTATAATAATAATTATTTTATAATTATTATGCGGGCAATTATGATGGGCGTGACGGGCGGATCGGACGGATACGGCGGTGCGTGTTTAAATGGAAAGTGCAAAACTTACTGTGCGAGCAACGAAATAACCGCACGGTAAGATATTATATTTTTTTACATGCCCATTGCCATAGATAGGCAATCTGTATCTGCGACCACGATAATGCTTATAAATAAGATAATATGATTTGATAATGGTATTTACCATATGCAGAAAGTAAAAGAAATGAGCCTGGCATAAATGTACATAAAAGTATCTGACAGATACAGGAAAATGTTTTCAGCCTGCGGTGTGCCTAATTCAATATGTTGAAGTCTGTTTGATTTACTCTGGTCTGAAATTCCTGGTAGAATGTCATGCAATGCACATAGTAGAACATTGGGCTGCCTGCATTTAGTGGAGACCGTTCCGGGTCTTTGAATGGTTATGCAAACAGTTTGCATTTAGAGCAGAGCAGCACTACACATTGCTCTGATTGTTGCTGTTGTTGCATTTTGCTTTTTGGTTGAGTTGCCTGCCACAGTTTCCTTGGCTGATGTCTTTCTTTGGCTCGTTACGTTCTGTGAGCCTTATCGCCAACTGACGTTTGTACTTCAAATTGTGTACTTAAGATAATGAAATAAAGTAGAAGCAGTCGCAACAGCAACATCAGCAGCAACAGCAACAGCAACAGCAGCGAGCGACTGTCGACGCAATGACAGAACGACAACGTGACGTGACAACATGCCAAAGCAGCGGACTCGGCATGGGGCAGGCGGCAAGCGGCAAGCGGCAAGTGGCACAAATGAAAATATGTAGACACACGGGCTTGTCATCAACATGCTCTGCAAGACAACGTCTTGGCAATTTGAACTTTGAAGACAGACTTTCGACATGAACAATATTGTTGCTTCAAAATATACTTCGTATACAACAATTACAAGAGCTTGTTTTAATGAGTTATCTTTTTCTTTTGGTTCAAGCTGAATAAGCTTTTGCAATTTTAAAGGTTGATGGCTTCTTTCAGCATTATGAAATGTACATTTAATACTGCTAGGTTTTACATAATCAGTATCAAGCATTCATCGATTTATGAATAAAGTCATGTCAAAAGAAATTGTATAAAATTGTATGCTTGAATATCTCAAATAAACAAAGAATGTATTTAATGTTTTCGTTAAATTGTGTTTAAAGTTGAAAATCAATAATGCAAGCAACAAATTATTAAAAAAAATTTTAGGGTACATTTTTGTTGACTTCTGCCAAACGCTAACTTTAAGAAGTTGAGTGAAAACTTTTCAGAAATTGATTTTCGACTATTCGTGAATGCCATTATTTACTGTAGTAAATTTATTTTGCATACAAGTACCATGAAAGAGCCTGTCTTTAGTCCCACGAATCTTCTCCATTTGCCTACAATTCAGTTTGGTATAGTTAGGGATTTTGCACGTCATGCCGAAGATTCTACTGAAATGTTTGCTTCTAGAGAATCGTT